CCCGAGATAGCCGAGATGTCTGTCTAGCCGAGGTACAGCCGAGGTACAGCCGAGGTGCAGCCGAGGTGCAGCCGAGGTGCAGCCGAGGTGCAGCCGAGGTGCAGCCGAGGTGCAGCCGAGGTGCAGCCGAGGTGCAGCTGAGGTGCAGCCGAGGTGCAGCCGAGGTGCAGCCGAGGTACAGTACAGCCGATGTGCCGCTCTCACCTCTTCACCGCAGTCCTCGCCCGTGTCTCGGCCACCACCCCCTTCCTCTCGGCCATACCTCGGCTCTTCCCCCCCCTCTAGGTCTCACCCGTGTACGCGCCGCGCGCCGACGCGGCGAGCAGTGGCGTGTGCGTGCTCGGCTCCTGCGATGAGGCGCCGAGATCGGCCCCTCTCTCCCACCTCACCCGCCCCGCCCCTCTCTCCACCTCTACCCGCAGACCTCCACCTTCGCCCGCTAGTCGCCGACGTCGAGGCCGCGTACGAGACGGTGACCGGCGAGCCACTGCAGCCGCAGTAGCGCCGCCGCCGTCCCCGGGAAGGAGGGTCGCGCCGGCCACCGCGATGGCTGGGCCCGTTTGGGGGGGGAGGCGTCTCGTACGTACTGCCCGTATGGCTGCGCAGCGTTGCATGGGTTGCATGGTCAATGCGTGGTGGTCCGTGTGGTTGTTGGTACCGCGGCATGGGGGTCTGCGGGCCGGGCCGCAGGCACGCACCGTCACACCGCGCACGTCAGCCGAGACCCGAGAGACACAGCATCGGACTCAGCCTCATCGCTCATGCTCACCCCTCTAGCTTCTTATTATCCTGAGAGATTCATTCTTCGTAAATCTGTTCAGTTCTCTTAGGCAAAACACACAGAGTCCACCTCTGCCTGGGCTCTGCACATCTCCTTGCGCGGAGTGCCCGGTTTTCCGCGCCCGCAGCCGCGGTTTTCTTCCCGGAGCGCGGAGAGGACGAGAAGCCCCCCTCTCGAACCCACTGACACACGCACCCACGGGGCGCGACACTGTCTCGCGCGACACTGCTCACTCGCCACAGTCTCACGCCCGTCACATGCAAATTGGCAAACGAACCGATTCTCGCCGGCGGCGGCGCGCCCGGTGGCTGGAAGATCGCAGTATCTGGAAGATACAAAGATGCAAAGAGATGGATGCAAAGAGACGCCTAGGAGCACGCCGTGTACGTACGGCTCTCTGGGCTTCGCGCGCCGCTGTGGTCGGCCACAACGAATGTGAAAACCGCACCTCAGCCCTGCGTGCGGTTCCCCTTCAGCGCCGCCACCTCGACCCGGCGGATCTTGTGGTTGCCGGAGTCCGCCACAAACAGCGCGCTGGCGTCGGGGCTAATGGCGATGCTAGTTGGGTCCTTGAAGTGCGCCGCGCCGCCCACGCTATCCGTCCACACAGAGCTCCGCGTTTATAGAGCCGTATGTGCGCACCACGCGAGTTCGGTGCAAGCCCGCACCCTCAATCCACCAAGGCGTGCTCGTACACAGGCACAATGGGAAAGACCTGGTGTCCCCAATGGCTTATAACTTGCTGCATCCGAGCGGCGCCGAGGCGTGTGGCCCGGTGGAAAGAGGGTGAGGTACCTCACGAGATCGCCTCGAGGCAGTGCCACCTGCGATGAGACGCATTCCGCCTCAAACGCCGCGGTGCGCGGTGTCCCTCCCCTCGCATCAGCCGCCTTGACTCGCTCCACCACTCGACGAGCACGCGCACCTGGTGCACAGCTGGGCGTGAAGCGAGGTCCAGTGGCACCAACCATCTCATCTAATCCGAGCCCACGCAGCTATGCAGCGACGCACCGCCAGAGCGTGCCGTCGAGCGAGACGTTGGCAGTCAGTCTCAGCCCGCGGTCTCGCTCGCGCCGCTCGGCGCCTGGATTTGCGTGTGGTAAACGTCCACAGGCTCTCCATCGTCGCCGGGTGCGAGGAGACGGCGCGCGTACAGAGAGCAGCCTCTAGCCCAGACTTTTGGCCTCGGCTGCTCGATACATCGATATGACAATGACATTCAAGTCACCCATTTCTGACCAGACCTCTCACGAACGAACGATGAGAGCCAGGGAGATCGGCCCGAATAGCCTTGACTCGGCGCATTGCAGCAGCAAATGAGAACTGTTCGGGCTGAGTGCACATGCGACTCGGGCTGCGGTTCTTTTGCGGTTCTGGGTTCAGCCCTGAGGTGGTGCCGAGGGCGAGGTGCGGGCGGCGGAGCAGTCTGGGGTGGACGTGCAGTCGAGGGGGTGGGCGGAGCCAGCGAGGAGCAAGTTGGAGACGCGCGCGGCCGCGCTGGAGATATGCGGGCGCGCCGCTGCAGGTTTTGCCCTCCGCCCGCCGGTCCAGGGAGGTTGCTTGTAGGAGTCATAAACGATCAACCAACAACCAAACGACCATGGCACGCACCAAGCAGACAGCACGCAAGTCGACCGGCGGCAAGGCGCCCCGCAAGCAGCTCGCCACCAAGGCGGCGCGCAAGTCGGCCCCCGCCACCGGCGGCGTCAAGAAGCCGCACCGCTACCGCCCGGGCACTGTCGCGCTCCGTGAGATCCGCCGCTACCAGAAGTCGACAGAGCTGCTGATCCGCAAGCTGCCCTTCCAGCGCCTGGTGCGCGAGATTGCGCAGGACTTCAAGACAGACCTGCGCTTCCAGTCGTCGGCCGTCGTCGCGCTCCAGGAGGCGTCCGAGGCCTACCTGGTTGGCCTCTTTGAGGACACCAACCTGTGCGCCATCCACGCCAAGCGCGTCACCATCATGCCCAAGGACATCCAGCTGGCCCGCCGCATCCGTGGCGAGCGCGCGTAAGCGTCCGGCTCATCCAAACCCCGGTGTTTCTCAACACCACCCTTCCTTTTCCATCCTCGTATTGCGGTTGTGGCACCTGTGGAGTGCCCGGTGCCGTGCGTTGTGATTGCAGGAAGGACTGCAAGAGGGGAGAGTAGTCCGCTCGCTACGGCTGTTGCTCGGACGGAAAGACAAAGAGTGAGAGGGAAAGAGTGTTGTTTGTGAAACCTGTGTAACTGGCGCTGCCCCGCCGCGGTGACCGGTGTTCATTCATGATGTGCACGAGAAGGTTAGCGTGTACGACGCATGAGAGCGACGCGGGCCGCACGGGCGTTGTCGTGGCGCTGGTGATAGTGGGCGAGCACACACACACACACACACACACACACAGAGTGAGACGCAATCATCACACACACAACCATCAAAAAGGATTCACAAACAACACTCAACATCCTAAAACCTAACACTCAACCTAACACTGTGTAAAACACTCAACCTCTCCTCCCTCGAGCACGCGACCAGCCATTTACGTTTATAATCTAAAAGTACGTAGTCTGGCCTCCAGAGAGATAGCCGATTGCGGGAAGTCATCAAAGAGATTACAGAAACCAGTGCCCCCGCTGGGAGGCGCGGGCATTGCATTGGGTCCGACAGAGCTTGGGTATGCATAACTTCCCAAGGACGCACGAGCGAGAAGCACAGCAGAGCAGACAGATGACGATTGCCACCCAGCGCACGACCGCCAACTCTCCGGCGCAGGCCGCGAAGAACCGAGTCCGCGGGCCGATGGTCGCGGCGCGCCGGCGCGGCAGCGGACGCAGCCCGGTTCGCAGCTTCGCGAGCTACGGGGGCGGCCACAGCACGGCCCGGTGGCCGCCCCCGCAATGAGGTCAAGCGGTGGGCATCCGGCAAAAGCCGCAAGACGGGATTCGCGAAGGCGCGGGCCACCTTCCGCGGCGGAGGCCGCGGAAGCGCGGCGGCTGCGGAGAGGCACACGACAGCATGATGACAAAAGCACGCTGGCGGGGCACCGAGGCAATCGCAAGGCTGGGAGACCCCAGCGGGCTCTTTGTCGGTAGCATCGATGCCGCAACGCAAGGACTACACAAACGACGCCGAGCACCACGGCAAGTTCCAGGTGTGGCTCCAGGCAGGCAGCTTCCAAGGCAAGGCGCGCGACGGTGCGGCGGTGCGGGCAGAGCACGCCGCTCCCTTAGGTTCACGCGTGTGGTTGTCTTTGTAGGAGCGGCAGCAGCGGGTGAGCGCGCAGTACGAGAAGCGGGTGCTGGGCTTCGATGCGTGGATTCAAAAGCAGGGGTATCCGTCCTTCTGCAAGGTGGTGATGGAAAACCCTCGCCAGGCTCCTGGTCATCGTTGATGCGGTCACCGGGCTTCCGCGTGTGTTTGCGGTGAATAAATAATAAATAAATAAAACGGACATCCCAAGCTAGGGCTGGGTCGAGGACAGACACGTCCGTGCCCAGTGTTGTGCGAGCGAGTTTCGACGCGGAGTTTTGACCGCGCAAGACATAAGGGTGGCTCAGGGCTCGGCGCACACGCGGGACAGGCGCGGGCCGCGGCGCAGGTCCGTGACTCAAGTCAGTAGTCGAGTCTCGAGACGTCCTCACGCTCGCGTATCATCTGCCTGTAGTATCCTCGCGAATCCGGCGCCCCTTGTCGCGCGCTTTGTCTCGCACGCGCCTCAGATCGATCGATCGACGATCGGCGCTCAAAAATCGACTTCAGATCCGAGAACGCTGCTGGCGCCGCCGCCGATCCCAGTGGGGGGGGGGGTAAAATTCAGAAAAAGCTCCCTCGCGCAAGAAAAGAATTTTGAGAGCGGAAATCTGAGGCGCACGTCCCCGCTCAGAGCTCAGAGAGCGAGTCTCCGGAGAGAGCGAGTCATGTTGCTCTCGCTTCTCGCTTCAACCAGTGGCAGTCTCTACTCGCCGCATCCGTACCCTTCGCAGCCTCCTTTCTTCGAGGGCTGGTACACACGCATCATCGCCGAAAGCAAAAGCTTTGGCGTGATCTTTGGTCACGTGTTTGCCGGCAGCGCCGGAGACAGCGGCAAGGGCCCACTCCCGACAACGTACGTAGCACTCCTTCGAGCAGCAGACGTCGGGGAACCTATGGAGGTCCACAACTGCTATCCGAATGGACGGAACGTCACCATCGGCGGCCAGCCCGTCAACTCTCCTCCCGACGTCCAAGGCCCGCCGGCATTTGAGTGGCGCAGCTCGGCCGGCGCCTTCATCGTCACCGCAGAAGAAACGTCCATTGACATCACTTGCGACGGCGTCCGCTTCGTTGCCGAACTCGACGGCGCCACGCCATGGAGCGCCGGCGGCTATGGTCCCGGCGGCCGCCTCTCTCAGCTGCCGCTGCCGCTGCACTGGTTTGTCTATTCTCTACGCTCGCGAGTGCGGCGTTACGTGTGGTCGTCCACCGCTGGCGTAAGCGACGAGGGTGTGGATGCGTGGGCCCACCAAGAGAAGAACCACGGCAAGGCCTTCCCGTCCTCGTGGACGTGGTCGCAAGCCCTCGACACGACCTCCGGTGCCGCCCTCGCCCTCTCCGGCGGCCCTCTCTTCGAGGGGTTGCCGCCCGCCTACCTGGTGGGCTATCGGCACCCGGCGGGCAGCGGAATCGCCATCGACTTTGCCCCGGCCAACGGCAAGCTGAGCGCCGAAGTGAATGGGTGCGACGGCTCCCTCCGCCTCGTCGGCACGCACCCGCTCACGGGCCACCGGCTCGAGGCAAATGTCACCGCGCGACCGTCGGAGCTGCGCCGTTGTCTGCTCGGTCCCACTGCGACCGGCTTCGCCCCCGTGTGCGTCGAGTCGTACGCCGCCAACGCATCGGTCGCTGTCTACCAGTGGGGCCGGCGGCTCGTCTCGTCCGAGATAACATCCGCAGCGCTCGAGTTTGGCGGCGACTACATCTGCAAGCAGCGCAACCCATGCCACGCGCCGTCGCCGACGGTGCCGACGCAACCAATGGGCAATGCGACGGCTGCCGCCGCGATTGCCACCGCCGCCACTTGAGCCACCACCGTCCCGAGTCCGAACTGGAGTCCGCAGCGATATAGGTAGGTCTTGAGATTGTTGTAGACTTGCTTCCGAGCACCGAGGGTGGACGCTATTGAACTCCGTCTGCACACGCGCTGTTGGAAGGTGCACCGTTGGCGGCACGCATGCTCCAAGCGGAGTGATGGGCGGAGCGTACAGGAGATGTCGCTGGGATGCGCGCGACGCTAGGGGCGTGTGGGCTGTGGCAGTCCACCCCCGCCCGCGGGACGAGCTGAGGGTCCTGTGGGGCTCTACGGCTGATTCAGAATAAGAAGCGGGGAAAATATGAGAAGGAGAAACGAGAGGAGCAGCGATCACGCAGCAGCTAGCAGGCTGGCATGCCCGGGGCCACAGGTAGAGGGGCACAAAACAGAACAAGAGAGCAGGTATGTCGATCGCTCGATCCGCGCGAGACTGTGATGCGTGTGAAACCCGACCCTACTCCCGCTCTGTCGAGGTGGCCTCCGCTCCCTTTGACGAGAGCCCGCTCGCCGGCAGCGCGAGCTCGGCGGCGCCAAAGCGAGAGAAGGCAAAGTCGGTGGCGAAGGGCGACTTCATTTCGTACATGTTTGCCGTCCCCTCGACGGCGCCCTCGGCTTGCGCGGACGTCTTAATGCGGCCCGACTCGGGGTAGTTGTCTTGCTTTCCTTGGCGCGGTGCCGCGAACGAGAAGCTCTGCCCAATGATGCCATGCGGCAGCGTCCGCGCCGCGGCTCCTGCGGCCTCCTTGAAGGTGACGTCGAGTCGGTGGGTCGGGCCACTCATGCGGTCATAATTGTGGTTGCCGCGCACGACGATGGCCCACTCCTCGCGAAACTTGAAGGTCGCGCTGGAGTACCTGCTCGCAACGAAGAAAAGTGATGGATGTGGTGTTGGCAGTTAGCAGGTGCATCGCAAGCAGGCGTACTTGACTTGGATGTCGAGGTCGCCGCAGCCCTTGTGCCCGGCGAGGCCGAGTTGGAACTGGTGGCCGGAGCAAGTGCCATTGATCAGCTGCCAACCGGTGTTGAACTCATTCAACTCCTCGGCCCAGAAGGAGACGTTGGCCCAGGCCTTGCGGCTGGCGAGCCCGGCGGTTCGGGCGACAAAGTGCACCTCGGTGATGAAGGAGCCGTCGACGATGAGCTTGGAGTTGCGGAGCTTGAATGTGGCGTCCTGTGTGCGGGTGAAGCAGGGGTTGGTGCAGAGCTGTTGGGAAATGAGACATGCGCGCAGCGCGCGGCTCTCCTCCGTCTTTATGTTGATCGAGAGGCTCGGCGACGAGAAGAAGTTGTAGAGGACGCCATCGCGCCCGCGGAAGTCCGCCTTGCCGCCGTGAGGGAACTTGAGGTGCGGATCCTTGTCCACGCCGCCGCCAGTGGTGACGTCTGGTGTAGAGGTGACGCCCAGTCCCAGCGTCAGCGAGGCTGTCGAGGCATCAGCAAAGCCGTCTCGGATGGCGGTTGTGACGGCGGCCTCATTGTCAGAGGTGGTTTCGACGGTGACGGTCAGCGTCGAGCTCGAGTCGAGACGTCGCCGGCGGCGGCGGGCCTCCTTGCTCACACAGACGACATTCACTTTACTGGCGGGGACCCCGAACTGGGGCGCAAGCTTTGTGGCCAGTGAAGCGCCAATGTCGGCGCAGCTCCCGGAAAAGTCAACTGTGACCGTGATTGTGGCGCCTGCCGTGTAGTCGGACGGGTAGTCGGGCACCGTGGGTGGATAGGGCGCTGACGGGGGGAAGGGTTGATCGATCCAAAAGGGAGGAGCGGCGGGGCTCGATGCAGGTGCTGCGGGAGCAGCTGGCGGAGGCTGGCCGATGGGGTCTGCGGAGGTTTGCAGAGTCAGCGTGGCGGAAGCAGGGTATGCGTACGCCAAGCTCCCGCTGAATGCCCAAGCCATTGCTGTGCCGTTGGGGTAAACCTCGATCGCGGCGATGAACACCGTCTCTTGATTGCTGCCGCTGCTGAGTGTTCCTCTGGCTGCCTTGAAATCTTTGTTGAACCACTCTGGAACGCTCGCATTTTGGGAATCCAGTGTCCAGTGCTCGTAGTTCTCGATCTTCTCGGTGAAGAGGGACGGGCACTGCTCCTCCACCAACCGAAAGTCCGTGCAGGACGTCCATGGCGCACCGCCTGGGTCCTGTGTCGGGTCGCAGCTGTAACGCATCCACTCGTCATGGGTGGAAGATGGGTATGGATTTGACATACTTTGAGCCGCCAAATCCCCCCATATGCCCCAAGCGCAGGATGGATTCCTGCAGTACTTGCTTTCCGAGGTTGGGAAGGGCATGCATGCCGCCAGGACGGGGCATGTAAGCTGCTGGAGCGGAAGCAATGCAATGTTAAATCTTACATCCGGCGCAGCCGAAAGAGTCATGGTCTCGCTGTCGGTGGTGCAAGGCGGGGACGGACTGGCAAGAACACGCGGAAGTAGCGTGGCGGCGAGGGGCCACAGCACTGTGCCCATTCGATGGGGCATTGCCCTGGAGCCGACACACGAGAGAGCGTTCCGTCCCCCGTCGGTCGGGCGGGCGCACTGCACTAGTGCGCCGGCGGCGCACTGCGAAAATTGGGGGATGGGGATCCAAGCTGGCTTATGCGGCTGGATCTCGGGGGACGCAGGGCGCAGGGGTCACTTCCGACGAACGACCTACGCTACCTCAGGAACTAGCCGGGGGCAGTCGCACAAGGGGCAGCAACTACGTGCACTGTCCACTGACTGACGGTCGGCCGTCAGAAAACACGCCGTCGCTCGCGTTACTTCCCGACCAATCCCGCCTACCGATTTGGACTGGCGCGAAGCCAACACAAAGAATTTAAACAAAAGAACTCTCTCTCTCTCAGCAGACAGGCTCGACACAGGTGCGGACTGGCGCGCGTGCGAGCACTATCACAGCCAACACAAAGAAATACTTGCGGCCGCTGGTCTCAGGGCGCCCGCTCGCCCGTCGCTCTTTAGCCACTGCATGCTGAGAAGCGCTCTCTCGCTCCTCGTCCTCCTTCGCGTGCGCCGTGTGCACAACGTGTACACACTCTCCATGTTGTTCTCGGATCTCGGACTCGCCCGCACGTCACTCTCGTGCCCCGTGTGCCCTACTGTATAAGCTTGTAGGCTGTATGCGCATATACAGAGCGTGTGGCGCCTCTTCCGCTGTCCGTGGCGGGTACGGCTCTACCGCGCGGGCGGGGTCTTTCGTGTTTTAATTCAAACTTTTGTTCGCGTTTCGGCTGATCGCAGATCGCACGACTCCAAGTGTTGTGTGCGGTGTGTGACACAGATCATCTGTTGACATCTCCCGCTCCCGCAAAGCCGCACCCCGAGACATGCTGACCGGACACGCACCGTGATGCCAGATCACAACTGGCGGCGTTCCACCGGCGGGTGTGGGTGAGTCGTGAGTGAGAGACGCATCCCAACCATCTGCCCCCCCACCCCACCCCACCCACACCCCCGGTCATGCTCGGCCTCCCTGGCCCATGCACACACCCATGCACGGCCGAATCGCTCGGCACCCGAACTCGGCCCAACAACGGAACAGAGGGGGGAGGGGCGACTCCAGAGGCGGCGGCCGAAACAGACACGGCGCGGCCCGGGGCGGGTCACCTCGGGTCACCTCGGCCTCAGGCGGGCTCGTCCACCGCCCCTCCGCTGTGCGCGTACCGCTCGACGAGGTCGGACCAAAGCACGGGCAAGCCGGTCGCCATCGACTCGTGCGCCTGCGTGCTGGAGACGGCAAGCCTCAGGGCGGGAAGACACGGGACTGTGCAGAGTCCTCAGAGCAGCGTAGAGCGGAGTGCGTGTCCTCTCGGTGTACTCGAGCGCTCGCTGGACAACAAGAGTCCGTGCTCCGCCCCTCGGCTGGCGCTGCCCCGACGCCAATCATCACCGCAACCATCTCTCGGCCACATCTCGGCTACATCTCGGCCATATCTCGGCTACATCTCGGCTATATCTCGCCCCAACGCCCATCATCACCGCGAGCGCGCCGTCCTCGAGCGTCACGTCCGGCTTGGCGCCTAATCTCGCGTCATCTCGCGTCATCTCGGCCCGTCTCGTCGGGGGAGAGAGTGTGGGGGGGGGGGGGGGTGAGGGAGAGAGAGGGAGAGAGAGGGAGGGAGGGAGAGAGGGAGGGAGGGAGGGAGGGAGAGAGCGTCCGGTTCGGCACCGGAAGACAGGGCGGCGGCGACGAAGCGGTGCAGCTCGTAGTAGGTGGAGCCGGCATGGTCTCCAGCCTGCATCAGCCGAATCTATACCTTCTCGGCTCATCTCGGCTCATCTCGGGAGATTGCAATCTCGCCTGCATCAGCCGAATCTCAACCTTCTCGGCTCATCTCGGCTCATCTCGGGAGATTGCAATCTCGCCTGCATCAGCCGAATCTCAACCTTCTCGGCTCATCTCGGCTCATCTCGGGAGATTGCAATCTCGCCTGCATCAGCCGCGCGTCAATCTTCTCGTGCGCCTCGACGATCGTGCCGCACTCGAGGTCGGCGGGCGGCCGCGCGCGCTCCTACCCTCGGCCAGTCTGGGTCGAACTTCTGGGCGAGCTCTCGCTCGGCTCTCGGCGATCTCTCGGCGAGCTCTCGCTCCTCGTACTCTGCGATGAACTTTGCGGAGCGGAGGCAGCGGCGGAAGTTGACCTGAGGTGAGGTACGGTGAGGTGAGCTTCTCCACACACACGAGGTGTAGGTGGTGGGGCAAGGGCCAGGCAGCCCCTCGCGTCTCCAGGTCTAGACGACAGGAGCCCCACGGCATTCAAAGGGCAAGGTCCGGTGCGCGCGCGCGCGCGCGCGCGCGCGTGTGTGTGTGTGTGTGTGTGTGTGTGAAGTGTACCTCGCTCTCGTCGTCCTGCTTTGTGCCGTGCGACGGCGCGAACGCCTCGAGCTTCCCGCGCGTGCCGACCAGCGAGACCTGTTCCACCGCTGCGAACCGTGAAGAGACGCTGTTCACACCTCGGGGCCGCGTCCGCGCGTGAAGACAAGACGCTGTTCACACCTCCTCCTGGTGCTTTGACGCCTCGGCGAACATGCACAGCTCGAGCATCGCGCGCGCGCCCGACTGGAAGTCGACGATCACGTAGGCGCAGTCGAGCACGTCGCTGTCGACGCTCTTGTGGTTGACCTCCTGCCCGCCGCTCGCAAAGATGCGCCGCGGCTCCGAGCGGAGGATGCGACGCCTAGAAAACAAGACACGCCCCCTCCCGGGAAAGAAAGAGGCGGCCGGGCTGCGGGCGAGGGCACGGTGCGCATGAGGTCGAAGAAGTGGACGCACTTCTCGACGAGAGTGCCGCCGGTGCGCTCGTTGGTGCGGTTCCAGTTGCCAACCTTCAACGCCACGCGGCGACGTCAACGCACGGACCCCCTCCGCGCCTTGGTGCGGCTCCAGCCTTCTTTAGGAAGGGTCTAGGAAGGGTCTAGGAGGGGTCTAGGAAGTGGCTAGCCTTCTTTAGGAAGGGGAAGCGGTGCTCGCGGATCGACAGCATGCGGAGGTCGCCGATCAGGCCCTGGTCCGCCTACACACAAGGAACGGGCCATACAGGAGACATACAAACGGCGGCAGGTCGCCGATGAGGCCCCGCCTCTTGGATCAGCCGCGCGATCGCCGGGATGTACCTGCGGACGCGTCGTGGACATGCCATTGGGCGTGTCAGTGGACTGCAGCGCAGCTCTGTGTCGCGGCGGGGCGGCGAGAGCTACGCGCACAGCAGCCGACGGCGTATCGTCGAGACGGTGCCGGCCGACAAAAGAGAGTGTGCCGGCCGGCCAGGAATCGCTCTGTGCGAGGAGCTGCGTGTGGCTCTCTGGGCTTGCGCACCGGTACTCCATCCCGCACCACAGCAGCGGCGCGGTGCCGCCGAAGCCGCCGGGCTGCCTCGCCAGCGCCACCGTCTCTGCGCAGTGCGAGATGAGCGTGCAGAGCGGCTTCTCAACGAGGCAGTGCTTGCCCGAGGCGAGGACCTGCCGCATCACCGCGTGGTGCGTGTCGTTGGGCGTGCACACGAGCACGGCGTCGACATCGCTCAGCTGCAGCATCTCGGCGTCGCGCTCCAGCGCGATCACCTCACGCACGCCGGCGTGCTGCAGCTCGGCAAGCGCTGTCTGCCGCGACGGCTCGTGAGGGTCGGCGATCGCGACCACGCGGACCGACGGAAGAAGCAGCGCGTTGCGAATGTGCTCCATCCCGATGCAGCCCGTCCCGATGACGCCCAGGCGGAGCTCACCCTGTTGGTTGGGCATCTCTGTTGTCGCTGTCGCTAGAACGGTCGCGTTGACGGAGCCTGCGCCGGCCAAGGACCGATGAAGCCCTTGCAAAAAAAAGGCGCTCAGCTCCCGGGCAGCGCGCTATCTCATCCCTCCCTTGGGCTGTGTGTTTTCTTTCTTTCATCACCCTGGATCCCTGACACCGTTGATATACGGTCGGACATGGTCGCGCTTCCCGGCGGATGAGCACAATCAAAAAGAAGTGAGGCATGACGCGGGTGTTGAGCCTGTCTGAGCCTGGCTGTTCTTCACCTTTCTACCCTACCTACCTGTCTGCTGTACAAGAGAGAGAACGACGAGAGTGGGAAGACCGCGAGGTGGCATGAAGGTTGCAGCGAGAATCGGCGAGGGACTGCGAAGAGAGATAGGAAGGGGCAGACGCCCAAGGGTGGGCGACGGATAGCGCACCACACCCCTCTTCTTAAAAGCCCTGTGTGGTGGCGGCGTGCCGTCCTCCCATCCCACCCTTGGGTTGTCTGCTTTCTTTCTTTCTGTCTGTCTGCTGTAGAGCACTTGGAGCACTTGTAGAGTTGATTTTCTTAAATTCTTAAAATCTGAAAGAGTTTCCTGCCAGTTGCTCTTACGTACATTCCCTGTTCTCTCTTTTCTTTCTTTCTTTACATTCCCCTGAACACGACCCCCTGAACACGACCCCCGGGGGGCTCCACGCACGGATACCCGATTGCGCGTAGCAATGTCGCCATCAGCAGCCAATATGTGGATTGGAAGGATCGATCACCGATGGGACGAGGCAATCATGATGATGCCCGCAAGGACCAGCACGGCGCCGACCGCCCAGATCCCGATCGACATCGCGCCTTGGACCTCCCTGAACAGGCACACCCCCCACGTGCTGCTCACCACCAAGTTGCATTGCACGGCGCTGTACCCCAGCGCCAGCCCCAGCCCCGCCATGTCGCCCCACCCATTGACTGCCACCGCCGAGCACACGTTGCCCACGGCCCAGAGACAGCCCGACGCCAGTCCCCGCCGCCAGACAACCCGGCACTGCGCCACGTACAGCGGCACGCTTCTCCAGTTGATGCACCACAGCACGGCGATCACCAGCAGCGCCGTGCTGCCAAACGCCAGCGAGTAGCTGGCATAGTCTGCGGGCGCTCGGCTCATCCCGTGCGTGGGCACCATGATGGACCCGCCCCAGATGCCGTTGAAGCACACCGCGGCCATGCCGACCCGCCACTCGGATGGCGCCGGCACGGGGTGCGCGGCGGCGGGCTGCTGCTGGCCGCCCCCTGCATGCGCGCCGCCGCCGTTGCTGACGACCAGCTCGTGAGACCTCAGCGCGCCCTTCTCCACGAGCTGCTCTTGATCAGTAGGAGCTGTTGAGGACGCCGCCTGGACCGGTTGGCTCAGGTCCAAGTGGGAGTGTTGACCGGCAATGCGGTTCATCTGCCGCTCACTGAACTTCTTCGCGTTGATGCCGGCTAGAATACCGCAGGTGGTCAACGCTAGACCCATGATGCACGTTCCCTCCAATTGCTCAGAAAACATACAGGCCCCCCATAGTACATTGACTGCCACCAAGAGACCAGCCACACACGTCTGCGTGACCGTGATGCCGATTGCATTCACCGCATAGACATAGGCCACCGTCGCAGGGGCCCAGCATATGGCACTCGCTGCCCCTCGCCAAAGAGCCTCCGACATGTCTGGACACCCCTCCGAAAGCCACAGTCCGAGCCCCAATAGAAAGCAACACGAGGTGGTGAACGCAGCCATCACCTGTGGGTACGGCTTATTGCCGGTCCACTTGATCGGAACTGCGAAGCTGCCAAACGCAAGGACTGCCAGGATCAGGCATGCCACTGGCCCTATGCAAGGGCGAATACGGCCGTCTAAGTCACGGGGAGGACCTGTCGAACCAGCTGCTGGAGTGACTCGCATCGCGCAAAAGTGGCAGAGGTGGTCGGCGGGTTTGGCATTTTTTGCGCCATGGTGAGCAGTGAAGCACCGAGATCCTGGACTGGTTTGCAGGCAAACCGCGCGCTATATCTTTTGTGACTCTTGAGCACTTGAGCACTGGATAGGGTCGATTCCGCATGGTACGGGACCCCATGAATTGTGACTCTTGCAACATTCGCAAGAAGAAAGATCCATTCGCATGGGCGGGCGGCGCTATTCCGGCGATGTCAAGGTCGTCTGCCCCCTCACTCAGCAGCGGCGGGGAAACACGCTACACGAGTTCGCAGTATGGAAAAGAGACGGAGGAGCAGCGAGAGCCGTGGCGTGAGCCAAAGATACTCACCTTCTTTTCCGAATCAAGAACCAAATATAGAGGCGCCCGCGGGGCCGCGGCGCGGGGTAGCGGGATGCCGGTTGGACAAGACGAAAAGAGGGGGGACCGCCGGGGGGAGCAAAAAACACTCGAGGAGGACAACTCGAGGAGCAACTCTCGAGGCTTGTCGATTAGAGTTAGTTGTTGTAGAACTGAGAGAGCCGTCACATACTACTTGAGGCCGCCGTGCGTTTCACGGACCTCAACGCTCCACCCTCAACTGTCACAGCCAATGATGCCTGGAGCGCGCCTGTTGCTGCGGAGGGAACTGCGCAAGAACCCCCATCCAAGGATCCCGCCCTCCGTAGAGGTTTCGCGCGTGTGCAAATGTGATTCAGACAGCACACGCCTCAACTGTCCCGTTTGGATCAATGGCAATCTTTGCGGGGGTGGACCCCCCCCCCCGCCCCCCCCCCCCCCTTCCCCCTCACGAGAAAGGGAGAGGAAGCAGCGCGCGCTTAGCCGAGCAGCATCGTGAGCGCGGCATCGACGTCCCAGCCCGCGCGCTCCAGCGCCGCCTGCGCCCGCGCCGCCTCGAAGCCCATCGCTGCGAGCTGGGCGAGGAGAGCCGAGCGCTGCTCGGGCGGCGGCGCGGCGCCTCCACCCCCTCCCCCTCCCCCTCCGCCGCCGCCGCCGCCGCCGCCGCCGCCGGCTCCCCCCCCCCCTCCGCCGCCCATGGCGGTGAGGATGAAGTCTTTGATGCTGCCGAGCTCGTCCATTCCAACCCCGTTCCGCATCGCAAACTGCGCCGCCACGCTGTCGATGTCGTCGCCACGGTTCCAGTAGATCTGCGCGCTACCGCCGCCCATCTCAACGGGGAAGACAAAGTCGTACCGGACCCCGTTGACCACACTGCCGCCGCCGCCGCCGCCGCCGCCGCCGCCTCCACCTCCACCACCACCACCTCCGGCTGTGGCTGGCTGCTGCGGAGGGGCTGGCGAGGCAAAGGCCTGCGCCGCGGCGAGCAGAGCCTTTTGGAGCGCGGCGGGCGCAGCCGCGCCGGGCGCTCGCGTGAAGACGAAGGCGCCGGCCTCGTCGGACGCGCAAAAGATCTCCCCTCCCGGCAGCACGCACAGCCCGTAGACATCGCCCGGCGTGCGCAGCTCCTGCAGACACGCCAGCGCCGACGGCGGCGGCGGCGCGGCCCACAGACGCACCACGCCGTCGTCGCCGCCCGTGGCGAGCTGGTGCGAGCCGCGGCCGAGCGCTGCGACGCAGAGGAGATATGCGCCACACGGCGCAGACGCGTGCTGCTCGACGGCGTCGGAGGAGAAGCTGCGCAGCACGCCGTCATTGCCCACCTGCCCGAACCCGCCCCCGGGCAGCGGCGCCAGCCCACGAACGGGCGTGCTGACGCGGCAGCCGCCGCTCTCGGTGAAGCCCGCCCCGCCAGCCGACGGCGTCCATAGCGTCACCTTGCCGTCGCCCGCGCCCGTGGCGAGCCGGCCGTCGTCGAGGAGGGCGAGGGCGAGCACGGCTTGCTCGTGTTTCAGCACGAGGCACTCCGCCTCGCCGCCGGCCTATTGTTCTCTTCTCTGCAGTCGTGGACCGGCCCTGCTTCTCTCTCGTGGCCGCAGCAAGAAGCACTCCGCCTCGCCGCCGGCCGGCGAGCCGGCGGCGTGCGGCGGCCACACGCGCGCCTGCGGGGAGAGATGGGGAGGGATGGGGAGAGATGGGGAGGGATGGGGAGGGATGGGGAGGGATGGGGAGAGATGGGAGGATGGGGG